GAGAGAGAGAGAGAGAGAGAGAGAGAGAGAAATTTTTTTAATATTTATTTTTTTTAGTTCTCAGCGGACATAACATCTTGGTTTGTATGTGGTGCTGAGGATCAAACCCCGGCCACACGCATGCCAGGCTCACGCTACCACTTGATCCACATCCCCAGCCTCATTTTTTTTAACCTCAATTAAATTGCTAAATGTATGAATTCTCCATTTCCCTTAGCTTTTGCTAAACTAGAGAAGAGATTCCCAAGAGGGTTTTTATGGGGCCAGAAAGAATATATTGGCAAAGTGAGATCTTCTAGGTGATTGAATTTATCTATGATGACTATAGTGACAACATCAAAGGTTAAGATGCCAAGAAAAATTTTTAAAGAACCAGAGTAATAAACACTTTTGCAAATACACAGGAGTGACGTAGATTTTGTTATTAGTAAAGCATTTGAGGCTATGCTTTTCAGATTTTCCATGTTTGAACCAGGACTTTGCCCATGAATAGGACCTGTTCACTGTCTCCAGATAACCAAACACATTAAACTTTCTAATGGCATGAGTAGGATTTACCTCACCATGACAAGTATGATTTTGAAACCAAGAAACTTTAGTTTGCCCTTCAAGAAAAGTGATTTATAGGGGATGGCTTGGGAGGCGATAGCTGAGAAACCATGCTCTCCCCAAAAAGATGATGAGAACCTTGCCCAAGGCATCCTTTTGAGACTGCCAGTGTGAGAGGGTTGTGAAATCCTGAGTGTTTTTGTGGTGATGTCTGAAAGTACCGGTTACTGTACTGATGTCTTGCAGTCATGCATGTCTATTTCCGGATCTACTTCCTTATAATGGCTAATGAAACAGGGCCATGAGCATAGTAGTGGGTAGGTCTCCATTTCAGTTCTTCTGTTGTTTTCACTGATAGGTGGCTTCTTCTGAAAGTTTCTAAATAATTCCCTTCAACTTGAAAAAGAAAATATAAAATTCTGTTATTTTCTCATTAGATTCATGTACTAATTTTTAAAGGCTATTTAAATTTCTGTCCTATAAGCTGTCAATGTCTTTATTTCTCTTACCTCAAGCAACCATTTAAAACAATTTCAACCATTAACGTGCATTCTGCAAATAATGAACTGGCTAAATCACAGTAACTAAGGAAAATCAGGACAAGCCTGATAGTCGCCAAGCTCTAAATAGGACTTTAAAATAAAAATAGAAAATGTGACTCAGAATACAGTACTAGTTCTTCATCTTACAGATGTTCCCAGCCATCAGAGTCAGCGTGGGCTATGACACTGGTAAGTGTGAGCTAAATGGATAAAAATTAGGAGAGGATGATAGGATTTTTTTTCCCCTAGACTGTCTTCTGGACTGTTACTTCACATTACTTCATGTTTTACAGAATGTATAGAAAACTCTGCCTACTCATTTCTTAGTTGCTTTAATAGCAAGTCTTCAGCAGGCCTTAAATTAGTAATAGAATTGCCTCCCCTTTCTAATAACACTTTAGGTATACAAAAGACAATTTAGGAAATAAATATCTGGCCTTTCTATTTATTGGCTGAGTGATCACCTCATTAAACAAAATTCACCAAGGATTTCTGTCATGACACCCCATTCATAGGCCAACCAGACTGAAAAGACTGCATCTCGGACCATGGAAGGGACACTGAAGAAACGCTGTCATGATATTTATATCCCACCTACTCAGAGGACCAATTGAGAAACTCCATATGGACTCCAGTTTGCCACTAGCCCACAGAATTGAAGTTTCTTAGCTGGCTTAAATTAAGAATTTTGGGTAAGTATAAAACTTTGCAGATATTTATTTTCATAATTCTAAGCAGTTTATTTTCATAAATGTCTTTTTGTGCTGCCCAATTATCTGTAGGTTGACACATTAGGCAAAGGAAATACGTTCTTAGAAAGCTTATAAGAAGAGACAGCCAGGTATAATGGAAAAAGTAAAACAGGATGATTAAAGAGCTATAAGGTGTACAAATGAGACAAAGGTAGCTATGTCTAGTTTAAACCAAAAAGAAAAAGAAGTTTTCCTAAGTAGAAGTAGAATAGGTTATTTGAATTATATTAGAGGAGTGAAACCCCTTCCTCTCATGCCTCAAACTTGGACAAATGACAGGTGGTACAAGTCCAGTTCCTCAGTAAGTTCCTGTAAACAAAACTGTTTATTTATAGACAGCTTCTCAGTACTGTTTTCAGGAGTTTAGTCAGAATGCAACTCAGAGCCACCTATCAACTATAAAGAAAAACAAAGACATAAAACCCTATCTTCAAAATTTTACTTTACAACTGGAATCAGGTAATTTGATACTGTATCTATTTGAAGGACCCTCAGAATTGTGACTGATAAGTAGTTTGAAGAAACATAGAAATAAGCCAAGTACCTCCTGCTTTAGAAAAAAAAAAAAAAGAAGAAAAAGAAAATTGGGCTGACATCATGGAAATCTACCAGCAGACCTAAGCAAAATTTGATGTATCTACTTCTCCTTTCTGTTCTTTCTACTTTCTGTTGAGCATTCATGGGAATCAGCATTGATGGAAGAAAAAAATGAGCCTCCATATAGACAACACTATGAGGTGAAGAACAGAGTTGTTGAGATATTGATGTTCTACCCTCATTTTTCCTTTTTTATTTATATAAAATATAAATAAAAGCAAGGCAAAATAAATTTACAGTAATACTAGTACTAACTAATGTCTCCCCTAAAATACACATATTTAAATGTATTTCATTTATTCTCATACTTATTCTTACAATTCTCCTCATGATGTGTGCAGATTAATTCAGCACAAATTTCAGAGGGTAAATTCTTCAATTGTTTTAATATAGTTGCTTTAAAACATAAACTACATGGTAGCTTTCAATGTAACATTATATAAATTCAGAATTACTATATATATCAATGGCTAAATACATTCACCAATTTTTATTCAGCAGCTTTTAAATTCGGGAAACTTTTTTCCCTAAAATTTATACAATTTCAGAGGTGTGTAAATATAATATTTCTTTCAGAAACTAAATTTCACCTGAGATAAAATGAAAATTCATTAAAGGAGAGACACAGTTCTTATTGCACACAATATGCATCTGTTAAATATTTACTGAAAGAGAGAAAGAGAGAGAGAGAGAGAGAGAGAGAGAGAGAGAGAGAGAGAGAGAGAGAGAGAATATAAGACTAGAGGGCCTGGGGGTGTGGCTCAGCAGTAGAGCGCTAGCCTAGCATGCATGAGGCACTAGGTTTGATCCTCAGCACCATATAAGAATAAAAACTAAAGATATTGAGTCCACTTAAAAATAAATAAATAAATTTAAAAAAAAGACTAGAACATCTTAAAGTATGTTATGGTGTAGCTATAAGGTGTCACCCAAATGCTCATGTGTGAAATAATACAAGATTACTCAGAGATGCAATAATTACATTATGAGGGTTATAATCCAATCAGTGGATTAATCCACTGATAAGGATTAACTGGGTGGTAACTGAAGGCAGGTAGGGTGTGGCTGGAGACGGTAGATCACTGTGTGCATGACTTTGAGGTGAGCATAGCGCTCTATCTTTCTCTCTCTCTCTCTCTCTCTCTCTCTCTCTCTCTCTCTCTCTCTCTCTCTCCTTCCTTATTGCCATGTTCTGAGCCTGCTTTTCTCTACCATGCCCTTCTGCCATGATATCCTGCCTCACTTCAAGCCCTGAGCTTTAGAGTTGCCTGGTTATACATTGAGATCTCTGAAACCATGGGCCAAAGTAAACTTTTTCTCTTCTAATTGTTCTTGTCAGGTCTTTTTGGCCATAGCCATGCAAAAGCTGACTAAAACAAAGTATACCACTGAAGCTTACATTTTTACAGCTTTATTGAGGTAGCATTGATATACAGTAAACTGCACATATGTAATGTGTATGATGTGGTGAGTGTACAGACGCATAGACCCATGAAGTCATCATCATATTAAGGCAATAGACATACCCATCACCTACAAAAGTTCCCTCATGCATATGTGCTTCTTTTCTTGTTGGTGGTGGTTTTAGTAAAAACACCAAAACTTTCTTAATGTATTATCTGTTTCTACAAGTTACAGAAATATTTCCCACTAATAATCAAAGGATTAAGAATTCTACTTATGATTTCTTTATATAAAATGAAGTTTCCCAAACAGTTTCTTGGAGCTAAGATGTTCCTCAGAGATCTTCTTTAACTTGGTAAGGTGAGTACTAAAATAGAAAGTTTGAGTGGAGGAATCATAGACTCTTTCTTCAACCAGTTATCTGTAATTTTATCTTTTAATATAGGTACTTTTTTAAAAAGCTGTTGAGGGAAAAGGATTTAGAAAATTAAACAATTTTAAAAACCATGAATTTAAATTCATTTAATCCTGCAAAAATTCAATAGAGATGATTAGTAACTATGTAAAACCCTAAGATTTAATAGTTTTGTCACATGGTTTTATGTTTTAGTACAATGCACTTCAATCTATGGCCTTGCTGCCTTGCGGTTGAATTCAGAGTTAAAAGAAGTACAACTAATGTCATAATCAAAGACTAGTTTTACTGTCATACATTTGTGGTGCTTATCTTTTGTTTTCCTTCCAAGGTTCTTCTTTTTCCATCTATTTTCTATCTGTCACCCAGACTCCCTGGCCACTTGCACTCTGGTTGGGGTCAGCTAATGGGAGGCACAGGAGTGACATCAGAGTGTGGGAAAAAAGACAAGTCAAGATGCATTCCCCACCATCTGACTGGATTAGCATTACATTTCTGGCATTAGCATGTCCCTCCTAGGGTTACACACTGGCAAAAACTTTTCCATAATTCCAGTTCTTCTGGGGCAATAGTAACACTTTTTTTTTTCATTCACCTTGGGGATAACAACTTCCCACTACTGGTAGTGCCTGTGCCCTTACTATTGCTTTGCCTTTTGCCACTCTTACATTTCTATAACTAATCTCTTACCTATTCACTTTAGGTATGTAGTCAATTATGTTTCCTATGTGACCCTTACTGATACAAAGTTTACGATTACTAAAATAACAAAAATTAAAATACAGAATATAAAGATGCTAGTCATTCAACTGTTTAATATTAACTTTGCCTCATTTACCATATTTCCAAAGTATCATACCATAACTTTTGTTAAAAGTGGTATCCATCCTGTTCTTATAAACTATGGCTCAATTAAAAAAATATATAGAAATTATAGTATTTATAGTTAATTTAATGTTTATATTAATGAATTTCTAGGCAAAAACTAAATTCTCCATAGTATGCTTACATGCAAGCCAGAAGCAGACAAAACCATATACCTCATTTCACAAAGCCAGAGAAGACTTGGGAAATGGTCCTGAAAATGTTCAAAGAGTAACACTTATAGATGTGCATATGGGTTCATTTTATACACAAAAGCAGAGTATTTTATCATCAGAGCCAAGTCAATAACTACTAGAAAATACTTTTATTCAGGTATAAGTGTCAGTGACCACCCAAAAATACAGCTGGCAAGCACATCACTACTAACAAGCATTTACTCTAAAAAAAGGATTGTCTTAAGAAACCCTAAGGAAAAAAAAATTATGACATGAACATGAAGAAATTTTAACAAGACTAAATAAATAAAGAACATCATTGTATGTTTTGAACATATTCTTGAAAAGAAATCACAGAGAGAAAGTTTCCATAGAGCTTCTTTGAAAACATTGACTGGCTATTTTTACATAGCTGTAAAAAATTTTAGTATGCTTCTTTGTAAAGGAATAAAGAGAAATTTCTTGTGATGAATTTTTTAAGAAAATTTTCTTTTGAGAAAAATGTTCAACGATCTACTCTATTACTTTAGCCACCTTAAAGTAATTTCACAAAAAGAAATATATATTAAAAACAAAAGCAACTGTTGAATATGTACCAAGAGTTAAATAATTATGTTATAACTGTCTCTGAAAATAAGAAAGAGGTCTCATATAGATTCATCACTAGTGAATATGTGGGACATGTTCTCAGATCAAAGGATGGAAGAAAAGTAGATTAGTGACTTCTATCTCCCTTGAATTTGCAGAATCTGTAGAAAAAAAAAATCCAGAACAAAACAAAAGGATATGCTAGATAATTAGGCCAATTTTTATCTCTGTCAAGAAGAATCACAGCACTGAAATAACAGAATGTCCTTGTGGTTTCCTCAGTGATAGAGTGAAAGATGACTATGATTACAACAAATTTATGAGAAATGATCATATCTTCTTACTGTCTGCCCACACCAGAGAGAAATGTTGGGAGTCAGAGATGAACTTGCTTTTTCTGCCTTTTTGTGGCACAATGGCTAGGACCAACATGATACTATGGGAACATGATATCTTACCCCACAGATATCTCCAAATTCAAGTCATATTTGTGATCTAGAGCACCTAAAAGATTGAGGAGAAAAACAGTTTCTACATGAGAAAGAAAATATTTGTTAATGTATTTTACACAGAAACAAATATCATGAGCTATTGAAACCATTAAGTCATTTTTTCAAATAGATGTACCTATGTTCTGCCAATCTTACAGTAATAATTTTTCCTTACATATAAGGTTGGTTTTCTGTTTGTTTGTTTTGTTTTGTTTTAGTATTGGAGATCAAACTCAAGGGCACTCCACCACTGAGCCACATCCCCAGCACTATTTTGAATTTTATTTAGAGACAGGGTGTCGCTGAGTTTCTTAGTGCCTTGCTTTACTGAGGCTGGCTTTGAACTTGTGATCCTCCTGTCTCAGCCTCCTGAGCTGCTGGGATTACAGGCATGTGACACAGTGCCCGGCTCAACAAGGTTCTTTTTATGGTACTATGTAATCATGGCATTATCTGCAGATACTTGCAGTTTGGTTTACACTATTACAATCATTGAAAAATACTCAGTGCTCTTTTCAATATTCAACCACTTCCACTTAAAAATTTTCCTCTTTTGGGATTAATAATATGATATGCCCTTGGTTTTTCTTCTGTTTTTCCAACTATGCTTTGTCTGGCAACTTCCCTCTGCTCATTCCCCCAGATGTCAGATGTTTACAAAACTGACATTTTAATAATGAAGTCAAGTGAAACTTTTGGATATTAAGACATGAGAGAAAACAGTTTGCTTTACATTCTTAGAACTCTCTCATCAGCCCATTCCTCAAGTTATCACTGAGCTGGTTCTTAGGTTTTGACATTTTTTATAATAAGGGAAAATAAAACTTGTTTATAATGATTAGTAATATTGTAACTCTGAAATAGTTTTGTTTATTTTGTTGTAGAACATGTTTGTGCACAAAAACATTCATCAATCAGTTTTTCAGTTTAGAATACTCTATAGTATATAAATTCATTATAAGAGTTTATATTAAACACTAACACGAGAATTTATCAAAGTTTAAAATTTCTTAAAAAACAATGCAAGTTTAGCAAAAGATTATGATTATCAGAAGACATTTAAATTACACAGCAAATAAATTCTCCTGAATCAGACACTTTCTTTCTTACATATAGGGTAGCCCTGAAAGATTTGTTCAGATACTTTTCATGGGAGACTTAGCTATTGGCTTATTTGGCTTTCTTTTTACACATTCAGCACACAAAATATTGTTCTAAATTACTTTTTCTACAAGTCTAATGGTCATCAGCTACAAAATTTGCATACATACTTTGAAAGGTACCATGGGCACCTGCACTGTCCCTCTATTCTTTACCTTTTAATAAGTTTCTTGAGGTTTGTCCTATTTCCTTGACATCCTGAGTTCTAATTCCTGAATGACACCCCTGCATATTTTATTGTGTGAAATGTTATGTTTATTATTACTGGTCATGAAGACATGAGTTCATGTGAGCTGTGGAGATTTACTAAGTTCAGAGAGGGAACAAGACAGTGGACAAGAACATTGCCCCTGACACATTTGATGTAGAGCCATTAAACACTAACAGCTCATGTAAATTCTTATATGGATAAATATTAGCAGCTATTTAAGAAAAATTATCAAAGAAAATATTGAATTAGGAAAAGTTACTGTTTTTTTCATAGTGATTATGAAAATATTAACTTTAGCAATAAAACGTATGATTCAAATAAAACTTTCTAAAAAAGTGCTTGAACACTTCTATACTGTTTTACAGAGTGATAAATCCATAGAATATAAGAGATGAAAAATGGCATATATTATTTATTTTCATCCTTTAACTTTACAGATATGAAAAATGAAGGTCGCATAATTTGGGTGAATGTCCAGGTTATAAAACCAAATGAAACAGAACCAGGACTCCAGACTATGGCTGTTCACCAAAATTTCCCCCCATCAACAGTCTCTTCTGCATTTTTTCATATGAATTTTGTTTTAAAAGTCATCCTTGAAATATGAAAGGATTTTTCAAGTTTCATAATTAAAATGTTGATGTTCTGAATTATCATTCATAGATATTTGATTGACTATCTTTTTGTAGTCCTTATCCAAATGTTCCAATATATTTTGTTCAAAAAATATATTTTGCTCAGTAATGATCTTTAAAATTCAGTGACTTGAAATGTGTTCAGAGTTCACCAGAAATTACTTAAACAAAACTCTTTTAATAGGTTTGAATTCAACATTTGAACAGATAATTCATTGAGCTACTATATACCCTACTTGCTAACAAGTAAATATTTGGAATTCAAGAGACAATAATTTAAGTTGGAATTATAAATGTATTTTAGAAAATCTGATTTTTTGAGATTTTGGTATCCATTAATTTTCGCCATTTTTGTGTATTTCAAATACCCAGAGTTTAATGGTGGTATTCACAAACTTATTTACTTGCAATTCTGCCTGTCCTTGAGGCATTTCTAAGTGCCCAAAACTATTAATAAGGTTGAATAAATAGATACAAATGAGCTTCTTTTCAGTCATTTACAATTTAGTCTTTTCTATGTGCTAATCCTGTGTCCTCCGTTAATCAACTCCAAAACACAAGTCTCCCATTGTGCTCCATAGAGATGAGGCATATGTGGTGGAATTCAGTCAAAATATTAATTTAGACATTTGGGAGCCATCACCTTCTTGAGAAAACTATCAGGTAAAATACATTCATTTTCAGCCAAGCTAAATTCCCATGTCCATGGATTGCACAACCCTGTTAAAGTCAGTAAGTGTCAAAGTCTTGAGCTATGGACTAGACAACATTGCCCAATAACCACAATTAGGGTTTCCAGCATCTGCTGTTCCTCTTTTGCAAATCTGAATTCTTCTTCCTATGCTATCTCTCATATACATTATTCATGCTGATGTTGAAATAGTGACAATTTATGAGGAGAGTTCAGTAGTTTCATGTAGCACTGGAAATCACTGCCCAAATAACAGAAGGAAAACCTATCCCAGGAAACTATCTCATAAACGTTCTTAAAACCCCATTTTCCTATGGTATGTTCTAAATGTGTGTGTGTGTGTTTGTGTGTGTGTGTGTGTGTGTGTGCGCGCACACGTGCATACACACATGCGCACTGTTTACACACACATATATATTTAACTATATACATTTTTCTTCAAATCTTTTGCTTGTCAGGAACACTAAGATTTTCACCCTCCATTTCAAATTCCTTTCATTGACTAGTCCTGATTTTACTTCTCTTTGCCCCTCCACTCCCATATTTGTCCTTTTATCAGTCAAGCCTACCTTTCAATCATCTCCTTAGCTCCTGGCTTCCATTCTCACTTACACTTTAAATCTTTTACTAGTAATCAGCATCCTCTCTTCTTTTTAATCCAGAGCTTCCTTAAGACACTTCAGTCTACTTTAATTGATATTTAAATGTGTTGATCTTGTTCGCTAATCTATTCTATGTTCTTAAGGAAATTTAATTCATTTTCCTCTTTGGTCTCTATAAGGAGAAAGAGAAAGGAAAGCCCACATGTAAATTATCCATAAAAATTGGTCCTAAGCCTGAAAGAAAGAAAAGAATACATAAGTAAGATTAAAACATGAAATTGAAAAAAAATTTTAATATATTTCTACTTATTAAATTATGCGTTTGGTTTTTATAAAATTTGAGTTTTTAAGGAACTTTAAATATTGCTGTTTTATGCAAAACTCTGTTTTCTCTGAAACAGAAATCAAGTTTGTGAATTTCTCAAAAAAATTAAATGTAGGAAAGACCAATTTTGCAATGCAAATTGAAGTTTATAGCAAAATATATTTTGAAAATAAGAAAACATAATATAATTATTTGTTTTATTATGCATTCAATTGCTATTTTCAAACATGCAACAAATATTTAGAAAAGATGGGAATCCATGTATAAATTGTCATTTTTCACTAAATACTGAGTATACATCTCCTATCACTCTTAATGAATAACAAATTTTATGGGTTGCCCAGAATCTATAGCTGAACTAAAAAAAAAAAATCTCCATCATGCATTTTCCTGTCATTTGTAAAAATGAAGACATTGGGTTTAAGGAAGACATTGGATTGTGTACTCAGTGACTTTCATCTTAAACTCACCTCCCAGAAAAATTTCAAGAAGTATTTCTAACATAAAGTTAGCAAAGTTTAGAAGGCATTCTAACATTTTCATCCACTTCTTCTATGCAGACCACATTTGTTTTCTGAATAATCCTTTCCCCCTCTGACAACAGCTGTAGCACCATTTAGCGCCCATTAGTCTAATGCTATTCTTAACTAACACTTCTGAATTGCCTCTAAAAGAAGCACTAGAGGGGGCCAAAGAGCAACTCAAGGTGGGGTGTTCCATTAGCCTATCCAACATCTTATCCCCCATGCGTTTGATAAATCATAAACTTAATCAATCAGATCATCAACCAACCTAATAGCTTCACAATCTCCTACATGCAAGTCATTGTAGTTGACGATTTTTGAGAATACAAAGAAATACATTACTAACAGGATTTAACTTTGCTACTTTGACTACCCTCAAGCAAGGGTTCATGACATGTAGCAATTTGTAATTTTGCTGAGGCATGAAATTGAATTACATGTGGCAAGCGGCTGGTCTCTAGTAGGAATCCCTTAGCTGGAGTGTGCCTAGATGACTAGCCCACATATCTTCTCACAGTGGTTTAGATATTCTCTGCTTGTGGTCACGTTACTATGTAGTAATTCTCATAACTTGATAAAAAAAAACTATTTTCTTTGTGAATACTTTTCTTGCAAATAAAGTCAGTTGCTAGTTCTGGTGATGAAAGTAGAGTGGAAGCAAAGCTATCCAAGAAAGTGATGGTTCTAATCCAGAAATAGAAGCTTTATGGAGATAATTACACGCTAAACTGATATTCGTGAATTTGGGACTATGGTATCCCTCATGAATATTGAGGGTCTGCCATCTGAAATAAAGTTCTTATCTTCAAGGAACACTTAGAAAACATAAAAATTGCTTTGTTATATTTACCTCTTGCAACCTACTTTGTCTTTAGGCATTACAGAGATGAGAGTCATTTTAACTGCATTTTATGGTCAGGACTATCATGCTATTTATACTCTGTGAAATACTGTATACAAAGTCTCCACAGTATGCACCCTTCTGCCATGCAAGATTTGAGATACTGACCAAAACTTCAGGTCTTTTATTTTTAATTTATTTTTTTCTAGCTTTAGGTACTAAAAATAGAACTTAGATTAAAAGGAAGCTAAGAATCATAGAAACATTTCAATTAATTATGGCAATACATAGAATAGACATAGGCTAAAACAAACCCAAAGGCAAGTGGGATTTGATACATTTTCTCAAGTTGGCTTAAATATTTTCTCTAGACAGAAAAAAAAACTTAGAAATACTTTTGAAGCCTAGAACACTGTGACAATATATATAATGTGGCACAATGGGACATATATGGCATATTTTGGCCACCTGTCCCCTGTGAAGATAAAGGCCCTTCATTTTAGTTTATGGCAGCTGCTGTTTTCCATCTTTTCTTCAAGCTGCTGATGGTTGTATATCCTGCTGCCCAGGATCTCCTGCCTAACCTTAGGCTACTGCTTGGCTATGCTGTTTTCTCTTTATGTGGACTATTCGGTCCTTTCTTAAACTTACAAACCCACTGTTCTCTAATAAAGATTGAAAATCCAATGCTTGACTTCTTGAATATAAACTTTCCTCTTTTCCTGGACAAGCACATAGCAGAATAGGGGTACAGCTGGGGATAAAGGAAGCAGGAAAGAAACACGTCACTTATCTCTTAAAGTTTGCAAAGTACTTTTGAAAATGAGAATTCTTTGTATTTTTAAAATCCTCTCCACCCATTAGCCTCAGCACTACATTGCTGCTATACTTACACCTCGCTCGTTATGTATTTACTTTTTATATAACTAAGCAGCACCCTGTCATAAATGAAATATTCATGCAAAAAAAAACCTGCTCAAAATGCATTTATAAAAAGAACATATAAAATCTACCATCTGCTCCCACTCCTAGCAAGCCCTTAGATACCCAAGTGTAAGCCCTCTGATTCTACAGAGAGGTAAAGCAACATTGTGTCCATGATGTATTCCTGAAAGCCAAAACTTCAGACTTTGTTTTAAGATGGATCTATGAGCGCTCGCCATCAAAATGCTTAGATCAACATTGATGGGCTTAGATATTGCACATAATGAATTCACATGCTAGCATATTATAATGGGTAGTCTTACTTGGTCGTATTGTGCTGAAATGAGCTGAAACTCTTCTGGGAAGTTGTGAAAGCATTTTGTAGTCAATTGATACCATCCTACATATAATAAGCCTTTCTTTAAAGAAAGTTGTCTGGACATTCCAGAAGTATAGGCACTTGGATACGTTATTGTTTTATATTCAGCTAAGAGCAAGAATGCTTCTAACAGAGTTTATTTTTCTCTTCACATAGGAATTATCACTATTGCTACCCATAATAAGATACATCTAAGTTTCTCAGTATTAGAGTATCTCCCAAGGGAAAATTGTACTTTTACAAGTTCTATGAATACTTCAATGAAATTCTCCCCTTTCTGCACCATTCCTTTGCTATACAGATATCACCCTTTGTGTTTAGTGCTTTCCATTCTCAACTCTGTACAATCAGACCTGAACAGTTATGGATTCAACCAACCATGGACTGTACTGAGTCTTTACTGAATATACACAGACTTTTTTTCTTGTCATTGTTCCCTAGCAATATGCTATAACAACTGTTTACATAGCATTTAATTGGTCTTGATATTATAAATAATTGAGAGATTATTTAAACAAGGTGGGAGGATGTGCTGGGCAATATGCAAATACCATTTCATCCTATATAAGGGACTTGACCATCCAAAGATTTTGGTAATCTGAAACCAAGACTCATTTTGGTTCTGAAACCAAGACTCATTGGTACCAAGGGATGACTGAAC